AGAAAGATGTGGATGTGTTGGAACAGATCTAGAGGAGGCCACAAAGATAATCAGAGAGCAGGAGCAGCTCTCCTCTAAGCAGGAGAGGCTTAGAGTTGGGTTTGTTCAGTCTGGACAGGAGAACAATATGGGCTCTGGGAAGACCTTGGTGCTGCCTTCCATTACCTGAAGGAGGCTTACAAAACAAGAGGGAGAGCCATTTTTACACAAACATGTAGTGATAGGACAAGGGTCAGTGGTTTTAAACTAAGAGAGGAGAGATTTAGATTACGCGTTAGGAAGAAATTCTTTTCTGTGACAGTGGTGAGGCAGTAGAACAGGTTTCCTGGAGAAGTTGTGGATGCTCCATCCCTGGAAGTGTCCAAGGCCAGGGTGATGAGACTTTGAGATATCTGATCTAGTGGGTGGCATTCCTGCCCATGGCAGGGGTGTTGGAACCAAAGGATCTTTGAGATCTCTATACAAAGCAAAATTTCAGCAAGAATGACTCACTATTTGTTTCTTTATTCACCAGTAAATAATTTGGCCATCCTACCATATTTTGGCATAGAATACTGATGTTTTAAAGTTCTTAATAATTTTTAGAAGAATTGTAAAGACTTTAAGTAAATTCTCTGTTGATAACTGAAAGCATTTTATAATGAAAAAGAGTGGTAGCCTAGAAAATAACACAAATGTAGAGGGCCAAATCCTATTGCTAGTCTTTCATGACCTTATTTAATTTGCGAGCAGACTGCAGAGCACTGAATATTTTCAGTGAATAATCTGTACTATTTGCAGTCTCAGTTGTAAGAATTGTTCCGGCACTATGGAATTCATGTAGAATGGGAGAACACAATTCATGTCTATTTATATGTCGCTTATTAAAATCTTGTTTTTCCCACTTAGACAAACATCTGTAAAAGAATCAGCATAAAGTCACTAATTCCTGTTAGATATGACCTGTACCTCTCTTTGGCTGTGTTGCAGGGATGAATTTACCAGTTTAAGGAAGGTTACTCTTCCTTAGATTGGGGACCCCACTGCATTGTCATCAATATTTTCCAAAAAGAATTCAGTCAGTTTATTCCCTGTAAAAAATGTCTCATCTGGTTTTAGGCTGTGTTATTGTTTCCACAGGGATGATTTTCTCTCTTTTCTTTGTCTCTTTTTGCTTATTTTTTTTTCTTTCCAAACTACTCCTTTTTCAAGATGTATGAAAACAAGCCAATAGAAAGATATCAAACAAGCACAGACAAAGATGTTGTTTTCCCTGGAAGAAACAAACAAAATTGTAGGAGAATATCCATCTTGAGGCAGTAGGAGTACTGCAGAGAAAATGATGCCAAAAGCTCAGCATTATAGTGGGAAAAAAAACCACCAGTAATTAGGAGTATCTCTGCTTGTATTCTGAATAGGCACTACTGTTTTGGAATTCTGTGCCAATTACATGAATAACACAAACTATAATAGGAAGACATTTCTGTATTCATTTGGGACAAATTTAAATATTCATAAGAATACTCATACTTTTATTTCTGTCTACATAATAATTTGAGATGCTTTTCAAATGTAAACCTGACACAATTCCCTAAAATATTGTCCCAATTAAAAAAACATGCACTTTTTATACTTCTGAAATATGAATTATCTCTAATTTAGCATGGAGAGGGCCAAGTCAGAAATACTTCATGTTCGAAGGCCTTTCTTAAGGGTCTGCCAAAAAAGGAAATCCACCTTATGCAATAAAGACAGTGACATTTTTGATAATTAAAAACAAAAAACAAACAAAACTGGAGGCAACTTACATTGGAGTAGTTGTAAGTGACTATTCAGACACCTGCAGAAAGGCTTTGGTAGAGAAAAGTTAGTAAAAGCAGGAGAGAAGGTATTATTGGAGAATGTCAAGGTGGAAACTTGTTGCATTTTGAGTATAAACCAAAGACAGCTTCTTTTAAGAGATAATTTATTTTTGGGGTGATGTTCATTTTTATTTAGGACATCTGACTCCATCATTTTTACATCTTTGAATATCATTAAGTTAGGAAGCTGTATAAGCAATTCATGATTAGAATTAGAGTACAATGTAGAAGCAGCAAATCCACTTAGCAGGAGGATTAGTAATGTCTTTTCTACCTCTGTAGCTTTAAAAGATTAGTTCATATTACTTTTGATTGTAAAAAGCACCAAAGCTGTTCACAAACCATTAACTGTTCCAGTCTTACGATATGTTGAACACATATAATTGGAAATGAAAAATTAGTTTTGTAACTGCAATTCAATAATGTCTTATTTAACTAAGAACTGCATTTTGTAAGGTGTATACTTATGAAAATGTTCCTAGATTTTTTTTTAATAATTTCTAACTCTTATAACAGTTCCCACCCTTAATCAAATGCTCAAATATGCTGAAAACCCTTTTTAATAAAATGTAAATAAATGCCTGTCAGAAGGGCAAATAATTGATCAGGTAGATGCCACTGACACTCTGAATGCCAATTTTGTGCCTTTCTGTAGCCTTGGAACCTGCAATTTTATCCCTTACCTGTTTTAAATTTACTACCTAACAGTAAATACACTGTTCTAAGTTCTCCCTCAAGACAGAGTTTCCAAAACCTGATTTTTAACGAGTGAGAGAATATGTGTATGCCACCAGGCTTGTTTCCGTACATTCTGTGGTCATATTTTATGGAGAGACACTTGGTTGATAAAATGAGAATACATTTGCCTTATTGTGCTAGCATGTCAGAACAACTAGGCAATCTGAGTCTTCTTGCAGGTTTATTTCAGAATTTTTCCCTAAGTTAATTTGAACAGGTTTCTATTACCTGACTGCCATAACTCCTCTTTTATTCGCTGCAGATGAAGTAGGGAAAGGGTCAACAGGAGTTAAGCTGCTTAGCACTAACCAAGGATTTCTACTATCTAACTATTCTAACTATTGGGTCCAATCTACACTTTATATATAGATATGAGATATATCTTATTTTTGACTGCTATATCCTTTGTTTTACCTTACAGTCCTAACTACTTCTTAGTGTAAAAAAGACCCTTCAGACTCTTGTTTTGCTAATTGGTTTATCATTCAACTCTTAGGACCACAGATTGAGCCATTTCAGATAGGGACAATTATCCATCATATTCATTATCTTCTATGATGTGAGCCAATTTTATGACCCTTGGATGAAAGCAAGAATCCTGCACAATTATGCAGTAGTATGCGTAGGTGCAAAAGGCACTTCTCACTGAACTCAAATACAAAAAGGAAGCATACAAGAGGTGGAAGCAGGGACAGGTGACCTGTAAGGAATGTAGAGATACTGTATCATCATGTAGGAATTGGGTTATGAAAGCCAAAGCCCACCTGGAATTGAATCTCATTGTGGACATGAAGGGTAACAAGAAAGGATTCTACAGGTATATCGGCAGCAAAAGGATACTGCTGAGTGGGACAAAGAATCTGATGAAGGACATGGAAAAGGCTGAGGTACTCAATGTCTTCTTCCCCTGTAATGGTTTTAATGTGTCTGCAATCCCAGGTGCCCAATACCAGTGGGAAAGTTTGGAACAAGGAAGACTTTCCCTTGGTGGAGGAGGATCAGGTTATGGAACACCTAAAGAGACCAGACATACAGAAGTGAACAGTTCCTCCTAGGATGTATTCACAAGTGGTGAGGGAGCTGGCTGATGTTATTTCAAGACCACTCTTGATAATTTTTGAAAGGTCATGGCACTTGGGACTAGAGGAAAACCTGTCTTCAAGAAGGGCAAGAAACTTGGATCCTTCGCAAGATCCTTGGAAAAGCAATAGAGCAGATTCACCTGGAATCCACTTCCAAAGATATGATAGACAAGAAAGAAGTACTCAACATTAATTTATGACATGGAAATTTCATCTGAAGAACCTCATAGTCTTCCATAATGAAGTCATTAGGTTGGTGGATAGGGGGTTAATAGTGGATGCTTATCTTGCTGGTGGCAAATCTTTTGACTGTCTACCTTCATATCCTCATAGAAAAACTGATGAAGTATGGACTAGATGAATGAGGAGGTGGAATTGAAAACTGGATGAATGGCCAGACTCAAAGAGTTGTGATCTCTGATATGAAGTCCAAATTGAGAATGGTCACTAGTGGTGTACTGAGGAAATCAATAATGGATCCAGTGCTGTTTACCATCTTCATTAATGCCCTGAATGATGACACAGAGAAGAACCTCAGCAAGTTTGCCAATGGTACAAATCTGGAAGGACTGGCTGATAAACTGATGGTTGTGTTGCCTTTCAGAGGGACTGGCACTGGCTGGAGAATAGACTGACATGAAGTTCAAGAAAGGGAAATGCAAAATCCTGGACCCAGGGAGAAATAACTCCAGTCACCGGTAGAGGCTGGAGGCTGACTGGGTGGAAAGCAACTTCACAGAAAAGGACCTGTGGGTCCTAATGGACACCAAGTTGAATGTGAGCCAACAATGCAGCCTTGTGACTGAGAACGACAACTCTCTCAGCTGCCTTAGGCAGAACTGTCAGCAGGTGGAGGGAGGTGATCCTGCATTTCTACTCAGCAGTGAATAGTGAGGCAGCGTCTGAAGTTCTGTGTCCAGTTCTGTGCTGCCCATTACAAGAGAGATATGGACATGCTGGAGTAAGTCCAGCAAAGGGCCAAAGAGTTCAAGGAACTGGAGCATCTGACCTATGAGAAGAGGCTGAGTGAGCTGTGACTGTAGACCCTAAAGAAGAGAAGGCTCAGGGCAGTCTTACGAATGTGGAAAAATTCCCAACTGGCAGGTGGTAATGAAGACTGAGCCAGATTGTTCTAAGTAGTGCCCACTGAAAAAGGCAATGAGCACAAATTGGAACACAGGAAATTATCTTGAACACAGATTAATTTTATTTTTAACTTTTTCACAGTGAGGGTGGTCAAACACTGGAACAAGTCCCAGATCAGTTCATCCCAGATCTCCATCATTCGTAATACTCAAAAAGTGACTGCACATGATCCTAAGCAGAACAACCTGATCTAGTGGGAGGCATCTTTGCCCAAGGCAGGAGAGACTGGGACTTAATGATCTTTAAGGTAAATTCCAGTCTCTTAACATTCTGTGATGATTCTATGATTTGCACAGAGGTTTGAATTATATGATCTGCAGAAGCCCCTTCTGTCCTTAGCCCTTCTGTGTTTCTGTCCCACTGTTTTCTGTAAGTTTGAGGATTTTTTTTTAAGTTTACAGTCTCAAACAAACCAAAAAAACCACTTGTGAGAGCAGAAAAATGAACGTGATTAGCACTTCCATGCTTCTAATAATCAGATTTCTTTAAAAAAATCCACATTGCTTTTGTTTTATTAATTGATCATTCTGAAAAAAAACAAAAGCAAACAAACCAACGCAATCAGAAAAACAAGCAATGAAGAGAGCTACTATTATGGATTTTATGCATATCTTTAAGTAGATTATTCATTATAATTGTGGGGTTTTCTTGTTTTTTTTCTTTTCCTTGTTTCATAATTCCATTTGGAACATCTCCATAGAAATCTCTTCTGTAGTTCAACTATAATTTTTTCCAAGATTCCAGTACTGTCTGATTAGGTTTTCAATTTTATGTTCAGTTTTCACTTTTTTTTCTTAACACAATTACTAAAACTACACTTTTGTCTGATTGTTTTTCATTGTTTTTCATTGTTTTTCAGCAAGTCTTTTCCTTGTATTAATCTGAAGTATTCAGTATGTAATTTGGCCATTGGTATTCTGAGATTGCCTTGGAAATAGTCGAATTTAAAATGATACCACTTACACCTTTTTTTAATGTCATTTTTGTTTCTAAATTATGAAGTTGCATATGTTTATAATTTGATAATGTACCCTTTGCTTGTTCAGGAACTTCAAGGAATTTTTAATGAGGTATGAAAACCAGCATGGTTTGGGGGGGTCTTGATAGCAGTTGACAAAGTGGTTCAGATGGATTTCATCTAAAAAAACTTTGTGGAATCCTGAAATATGTCCTTGTGCATGAATTTTTATATTTATGATAATAACTATGCTACAAATGTTACAACTTGAAAAGCTGTCAACATTTGTGACAAAATTTAAACTAATTATTTTTACAATGAAAGCCTGACTTGACTGAGAATTTTCAATTGACTTCAGCTTCATTGGGACTAAAATTAAATCCCTAGGATTTTTTGAACATTTGTGCTAGAATGCTGTTTCTCTTTTATAAGTGGAAAATAATAGCTTACTTTCAGGCACAAGGAATGGAGAGAGATTATTTAAGATTACTCCTAGGATTTTTAATGGCCTATTAACATCAGTGAGAATCATCTGGATACAGAAAATATGTATCCCTGTAGCGCAGAAATCAAAGGAGGGTAACAAAGGCTAAAGTAAGCCTTTGACATTCATGTAATGAAGAAAACCTAAGCAGAAACAGGGGAGGTGCCCTGTACTGCACTCCTAATCAAAAAATCCGTATGTGCAGAGCAGAAAATTCTGACACGTGATGCATTATGTTCAAAGGCATTGCCAAAAAAAAAAATAAAAAAGCACAGTAGGTTTTCAGCTGTATGAATAGTTAAGTCTGAAACCAGTAAGTCAAAGAAAGACTGAAACAGTAGTATTCTCAGTCTCTCCTCTTAACACTTCCATAGAAAAGCACATTGTTTTTCTACTGTGCAGAACAGGGTAATGGAAAGTATGACAGCATGTAAAAGTGATATAAAACACACATGTCTAAATAGTATAGATGTGACAGGAAAAATGGGATTAAATAAGCAATGATCAGCTGATCCTTAAATTGGCTCATTCATCTGTGTGCTGGCACAGGTTGAGAAGGAAGTAGTAGCATGCAGTGGTGCAGTTTACATTAATTGCATTCCCAGAGATCTGTCTGACAGTGGGAGAAGCAGTGGTAAACCTCAGGCAGAACACTGTTTTCCACCAGATGTGTTTTATGGGCTTGTTATTTAGCTGTACTTTCAATTATTGGATAGCACTTGTGCTATGTACAGCTTTTGTAAATTCTGTTTCCATTTTTCACAACAGATTTTTATTACTTTGAGCAGGGTTAATATGTCAAATTCTTTTATGGATTAGTAGCCTATGCTGATAATTCCTGCAAAAGATAGATGTGTTTGTCAATGAGCACCTACTCATTCTCTTAAGTATGCAATTTTTAGAAATTGCCTTTTTTCTTTTTTTCCCTCAATATTCATTTTCTTTCACTTTTTTCTTTTCCCCTGTTATAGCTGTTATTTCCTTTTACTGTTTTTCTGTTCTTATGTTGTCTTTTCTTCTTCTCTAACTAAGCTACATTATACCAAGAACTATTCTCCTGTCTTTTCATATCCATACCTCTACTCTTCTGCTTTCCTTCACAAAGCACAATCTTGTCTTTTACCATGTAAATTTGACTTTTAAACTTGCATAAAACTGTGAAACTGTTGATAGTATGTTTAAGATCATATACCTTTTTTGAACACAGACCTCTTCTAACTATGCTTCAAATATACACAACAAAGGACTTTGTATTTTCACTGTCTCATCAACAAAATACTTTTGCACTCCCGGACATTACCTCCTTTGGCATTTCCACTGTGAAAGCCATTAGGATAACCTGGCAGTAGCTCCACTGCAGTAGTGGTATGATTTCATAATGCTGCTGATGTACGGAAAGGAACAGTTGAAACATCTGCTTCGTCTCTATTTAACTGTAGTTTTTTTTTGTTTCTGAGTCTGTTTTTGTTCTTTGGTTTCACGTTCTGAACTTAAAATAAATCCCCTTGGTCCCATCCTTTTCTCCTTTCGTTTCTCAGTGAGAGGAGTTTGCTTGTATTGTTCTGGTGAATGCCTTTCTGTGACAGTAAGATTTCCTAAAACCCTTGAATTAAAAATTCTGATGCCACTTTACTGACTGACTTCTGTTTAATACTCTTTCCTGCAAGAACTAATTCCTTCTAAACTTCGTGCAGGAGCTCTCTTTTCCTAACTCACTGTGGTTTCAGCATGTGCTCAGTGAAGCTCATACACCTCTCCCTCTGTTGCCTGCTCCCCTCATCATGTCTTGCTTGGAGGCCAAGCAGAGTGACTGCCCAGTTCTTTACTGTCCTGTCCTGACTTAGGAATCCAGTCAGAGCTCATTCAGTGATCCTTGTGATGGTCTGCAATCGATGATACAGATCATCTTTACACCCAGCCTATGGGAGTGCGGATTTTCCATGTGATGTCAGTCAAATAATGTGCCAGTCCAGTGCCCCGTGACTAACAGTACCGAGGGACAGATCGCACTGGAGGGATAGTTACAGACAAAAGCAAATTCTGCTGCAAATTTATCTCTCTGAAACATAGATTTTTTTTTTGGCAAAATTTTATCAAAACCCTTTGAATGTCCAAATCTTTTGCCAAGCAGCTTACTTTTAAATAGTTTTTACTCAGAATGTATTGTTGATTTTTTGATTGTTTCCTTCCACTTTAATTTTTGTGTTTTGGTACATACATCCAGATGTGTAAATGCACCTCCAGAGACTTAAGTCAAATGTTTACAGAGCCTGTGTAAACTGGTAGTCAATAAGCAAATTCTTGAAGCTGAAAAGATATGAAATAAGTTTAATCTGCCACTACCAATATCAAACTTAGCATCAGTTCCAGAATAGTTTCGGTGGCTTTTTTTAACACTAATTTTCTTGTTTGTCTTGATGAGAATGAGACTAGACTTTGAAAGTGTGTATGCTTTAAAAATAGGAGTTTCTTTGAGCTCTGGACAAACATTTAGTCATCCCAGACCATGTATTGTTTTTAAAATGAGAGATGAACATATATCTCCACTTACTATCTCTGTTTACAATTTTATTGCCTTCGAAGAGTGATTTAGAATACATATTCTTCATCTCAGGAAATCTTTGTCTGAAGTCTGAATTCAAACAAATCATTGACTTTTCAATACTTAAATTACCTACATTTTTTCTTCAATTACTGGGTGTTGCGAAAACCCTTCAATTGTTCCTAGATTTCCTGTCTCTTCTATGATATTTTCTTTATAAGCTTACAGTTTCTGAATGATAACTATTTAAGATCTTGAAACTGGTTATTTAATATTCTTTTGTTGTTGGTGGTGGTGGTTTTGTTAGTTTAGTTTGGTTTTGTCCTCTGCAGAAAGCTTTAGTACTTTTTTCCTAGTTGGACTCGTTTTCATCTCTGATACTTCCTGGTATTTTTCTGTCTTCTGCATTTTGTGAACATCAATTTATTTACACTTGATCCACTATTGCATTTTAGTTCAGGCTTAATTCTAAAAGATTATGGAAGCAACTTATATTTAACAGTAGTTGAATATAATAGTTGCTTGTTTGAAGTCTTTCTTTTTGCAGAAGATTCAGTTGAGACTAATTGATGGGATTATTTTATTCAGTAAGTACAGAAGTTTCAGCAAGCTCAGAAACTAACTGGTTGAAACCTTGTATATGCATTTGAAAAAGCCTCATTCTTTGTAGACTTTATACCATATTGATCAACTACATGCAAATTATTTATGCAGGTATACCTTTTGGGTTTTGTTTTGTTGATATTATTCCTAAGGAACTTCCCTTAAGAACAGAATATAACTGTAGGTGCTTGTCAGTAATGTCTTCTTGTTACAGGACACTTTGGGTTTGAAATTTAGGTGTAAACAGACTGTTTCATCCTTTTTCATCAGTTTATAAAGGAGATTCTTTTCCACATTTTAATAATGACTGGCTAGCTGCTGCTCTGATTTTTACTTTTGAGTATGAGATTGCCATTTAAAGTGTAACTTCATAGAAATGTACCATCATCCTGCCCAACCTCTGTCTTATCTGGCCGTTCTCTGCTGATTTCACTACTTTTTGTAGAGGCTTATAAATATAATCCAGTTTAATTTTTCACTTTGTCATATATCTTATGCTTTTCTCCTCAGTAATGCCTCTAAATTCTGTTTTTCTTTATTAATTTCATTAATTTAAATAGTTGTCATCCTCTTGATAATTTATCCCCCATACTCAACCTTTCATTCAGTTTGATATACTTCAGGAAAGCTCTGTTTGTTAAATAAGGTATTAAAAAGTTA